GTTTCACCTTGTTGACCAGGTTGGTCTTGATCTCTCGACCTCGTGATCCACCCGTCTCAGCCTCCCAAAGTGCTGGGATTACAGGCTTGAGCCACCGCACCCGGCCTTAGTGAATCTCTTAACTTTAACTATTCTACTCAAAGGCTGCTGCTGCAGAGCAGAAAGATCAGACTTGGTTTCTGTACATCTGAACTCCAGTTCCTTCTTGGCTAACCTAATGTGAATGTTGTTCACTCTGTGTGACCTTGGGGACGGCACTGAACGCTTTTGTCCTTAGTTTCCTCATCAATAAAATCAGGATGATAACAGTATCTCATTGGAAGAGTTATTGAAAGGATTGAATGAGATAATACATACAAAGCACTTGACCTAATCTTTGGGAAATAGTGAGTTCTTGGTCAATGTCAGCTGCATGGTAAGTTAATAGATGCACGAGAAATTTGTTGTAATTGAGTTGTCCACGCAAGGAATGTCAGCTCGAAGGACTGGCTCAAGGATTTTATTTGCTCCACACTTTAGTTTTTATTTTTATTATTTATTCATTTATTCATTTGAGACAGAGTCTTGCTCTGTCACCCAGGGTGGAGTGCTGTGGTGCGATTTTTGGCTCACTGAGACCTCTACTTCCTGGGCTCAAGCAATTATCCTGCCTCAGCCTCCCGAGTAGCTGGGATTATAGGTGCCCACCACCATGCCTGGCTAATTTTAGTATTTTTAGTAGAGACGGGATTTCTTCATGTTAGCCAGGCTGGTCTCGAACTCCTGACTTCATGTGATCTGCCCTCCCTGGCCTCCCAAAGTGCTGGGATTACAGGTGTGAGCTTCCTGGGACCATAAGCAACAAAGTTGGCTTTTGATTCCAAATGTTACACACACACACACACACACACACACATAAAATCTGCAATGCTGTTGCAAACGCCTCACATACAGTGCTTTCTTTCCCTCCATGGTGCCCTCTCTCTCTTCACATCTTTATACTGCCAATATCTCACACTTCGCAGGTGGGAAAGTTTATCATTTGCTTCACTGGGAGACGTACATGCTTTAAATAGTGTTCTAATGTCTACCAAAAAAAAAATTAACAGAGCTGGCTCTAGGGAAGCAGCCTTTGACTGTTCAAACCTAGGAGAAATGAAGGATTTTATTTGTGGAAATTGGGGCATCCGGTGCCATCTACTTAGGGAAGCAGGATTTTTTTTAACCACCCACCAACACCTACACACACCAAAAATTTTAATAAAATCTCAGAGAATATATTAATCTTTTACTTATAGGTAATCTCCCAAGTCAGGGGAAGTTTTTCTTCTGAATGTTGTTCACTCTGTGCCCTGGGAACGATCTGAATCTCACTGAAGAACCTCACTGAAGCATCTCCTCTCTAGATGCTCATCTCTGACCTCATACAATCCTTCCAGATCGGGACACTGGGCCCCATTTTACAGATGAGAGCACAGAGGCCAAAAGAAATCAGGAGCTTGCCCACGGTCACATAGCTCGTGAGTCGCCACTCCTGTCTGCTGCCTCCCGCACCACACCCACCATCCTTTTGCCTGAGCCTGGATTCTTTCTGTGTCTCAGCATCTTTCTCTGCTACCATCCTTTGCATCATCCCACACAGGATTCCTGGAGGAAGGTGGCAATGGGTGAGAAAAGTTGAGTAGGAAAAACCTCAGCAGACAGGCTAACACCCAGCACCCCCTAGGCACAGATGAGACAGATGAGACCCTGACTCTCTTGAGGAGCTTGGCACTCAATGAGTATTAGGAGTTATTGCTTGGTGAAGTTTAAATATAATTTGTTTATTCATGCATGCAACTAACATTTATTGAGCTCCTACTACGTGCTCAGCATGGTATTGGGCTCTGGTGACGTACAGATGAATGAGACAGCTCTGCTTGCAAGGCATTCTTGAGGAGTGTGCAGCGTACTTGGTGTAACTGACATACAGCAGTCCTAGAAGCAAAAGCGTATGGACAGGGTGTCACAAAATTCCTTAGCCAGCCACCAGTTACTGCTGACTCCACTGTCTGAATAGCTGGAGAATCTATCTCCGTGACCACCACTCTGGTGAAGGCTGCCACTGCCTGACACCTGTATCACCGAGGCCAGAAGGGCCGCCTGTCAGCCTGCCTCACTCCTCTGATCACCTCTCCACACCACAACTAAAGGGACAGTCTGATCCCTGTTTAAGTCCTCTGAAGGCTCCGGGATGCCCTTTCGACAATGTCTAGACTACAGAGCCAGGCCATACTGTAGAGAGCTGGAACCCCTCCTCACAGGCAGATCCTGGGTCTTGTTCAGGATGGGTGCTAGCACAGGGCCAGACCCTGGGTGACCAATAATTCCAGGGGGTCTTTATGATACAGTGCAGACTGGTGACATCATAATGCAAGCCCCCTGCCCACAAGATGTTTTTGGCCCATCTGAAGGATAATCATTGGTCAATCTAGCTAGGATCCAAAATAATCACTTCATTGGACTTAATTTGAAATTTCTAAAGGTTTTTATATGCTGGTGAGCACTCTGATTTAATGGAGTTAAGACTTTTCAAAAAATACAACATAAACATATGACTAATACCAATTGCTAAGCGTTGGTCTGGCCCATAGTATAAGCCGTTATGCAGTCATATTTGGAAGAGATGAGGGTAGGCGATAAGAGCTATAGGACAGAGTCTGGTTTTTGTCTTGCTCTGTGATCTTGGGCGGGTTACCGGGTAGCTTTGAGCCCCATCTAGAACCCATCCCTGCCTCCTTGGCCTCATGAAGTCACTGCAAAGACCAGATGAACACTGGCTAAGGAAGGGCTGCCCAAACCGTAAAGGGCTGTACTTATGTGAGGGCTTGAGGCCGGGACCAGAGAAGGCAGCATCCTACTTGCCAAAGCCCCCAGCACACTCCTTTCCTGGAAATGGCTGGGAGGATACGCTGGGGTTATCTTCATTGTCCATTCTTCCCCAGAGCGGGTCTGGGATGAGGAGACGAAAACCTCTGCCTGGGTTTCCTGCCAGAATTTGTCAGTTCGCATAAGGAGAGGCAGGAAGACCATTGGGTCATCCATCATGAGATGGCGCGGGGAATCCGGGCCTGTCTGGACCATGTTTTAGAAGCCTGTACACGGGAAGAGATGTTAGATTTAGTGATCTCTAAGGTTCATCTCGGGGATTCTCTACAATTCTCTGGCTCCAAGTCCTTTCCCTCAGCAGAAATCAGTTTTAAACAATGGCAAGGATTCTAGCAGAATTGGGCAACTTCTATAAACTCAGTTTCTGGAAACTCCCAGGAAGCTAAGCCTTCGGGCAGAATACTTCTCCTTCCCCCCAAAAAGTGGAAAATAAAAAGAGTACTGTTGATTCATGCAAGATGCCAAATACCTAATTCTTTCTGAAAGTCACATACCCTTCTCTCCCAGCCAGCTCCAGACCCAGGAGGCTGGGCACACGCAGAGGAAGGGATGTATCACAGACTGGTATTTGCCTGGTTCCCAAAAGCATGCGCTTTGTCTGCTGCACATATGCAAACTTTTTAAACGTCACCTTTCCAGAAGTGTACTGGGGCCTGGGACAGGAAGGTCAACTGTTTATTCACTTTGGTTCTCTGCTTTCTGGGCTTAGGCCTATAGTGAGAGTCATTTATTCATCCATCCATTCAATGTTGAGACCTCTCTCTCTCTGCCAGACACAGAACAGCCCTTGTTTTCAAGTACTTCGAAATTTATTGAGGAAAACCGTCAAGTAAACATAATTATAGTACCATGCAATGGGGAAGCAGAATTGCAGCATTCATTGAATACTATGTGATTGTACCTAATATTAAAGAAATCGTACAAGACAGGCACCCAGCTGTGCCTGTGGGTGTTGGAGAAGGCTCTCGGAGGTGCACATGATTAAGCAGGATTAGCTAGGCAGAGGTGAAGTGCAGGGAGCAGGGGAAGGGCATTTCAAAGGGGACAATAGAGCAAAGGTCTGGAAGTGACTGGATATGGCCAGGACCTGCAGCAGCTCAGCACTGCTGGGACAAAAAGCATAGAGCCAGGATTGAGGGGCACAGATCAATCTGACCTTGTGTGCTCCACGGAGGAGCCAGAGACACTGAAGGGGATGGGGGTGATATTGACACACGAGTTCAATGAATATTCAAGTAACTTTTAGAGGCCAGCCTCATGCTCAGTACTGGCTTCTATTCCTTTTTGAAAAACACCTAAAATTCTTTCCACCTTACTGCAAAGTAAATAAGTAATTTCGGCTGAGAGTCATCCAACATCTGGTATACAGTTGGTGCTCAACTGATGGTGATCATAGTCCCTCCCTGCTAGGGAACTGTTGCTGCCTGGGTAATGTTCCCCAAATAATGTAGCTGTCCATTCCCCAGACCAGTCATCTTTGCACCATGAAAAATGGCCCATCCCTGCAGCTAACATCCAATCTGGCTTTAATTGCTTAAAGCCAGATTCCCTGCAACCTGTCTCAGGATGGAGAAGAAGGCTGATTTTCTTAGCTCTGCTTTGTAAAGAAAATGGTTTTCAGCACAACTTCATCCCACAGCGACTACGGCAAATAAATTGAAGCGTAAAAACAGGGAGATGGCTAGCAGATGGGGCAAAATTAGCTTGGCTGCTACTGTCTATCACCCTGGCTCCACCGGACGGGACGCAGAAAGGGATCCAGCTCCCTAGAGTGTGAAATGACCGCAAGATTAAGAATCAAGGCCACAGGAGAAGTTCCTGCCTCAAGCCCTGGAACCCTGGAGCCCCGGAGGGGGCCTCCACTTCAGTCTCCACTGATACTCCTTCCACCCACCCCCGCCCAAACTGCTGTGCCAGTGGGGGTTCCTCTCCTCCTTCAGGGCTCAGCTCCAAGATCCGTCTTTAGAGACCTCTGCTGCCCTCCACCCTCCCCCCCCCTTGTTTAACGGCGACTGCAGCCCCGCCCCCATGGATGACTTGGGGGTAGATTCACCCTCCTTCAGGGCCCCGCCTCAAGGGAACAGGCCTGTCCTTCAGGGGGACCTCCATAGCTACCGGGTAATTAGTGAGCAGCTGGGTTTCCAGGATTCATTGCTGTGAACAGAGCAGTGATGCACACAGGCCCTGTGTTTAAACGCCCAGTGAGCCCTGTCCATTTTTTTTTTTTTCCGCCTCTTTTACTGCATATTTAAAGCCATTTTTAGTTGTTACAGAAGGGGACCAAGCACTGAGCTGGAAGCAGGGGCTGGGACTTCCTGCTCCTAGGTCATTCTTCAGCCTTGGGCAAATTCGGTAACTGTAGGGTCTCACTTTTACTCAGCACAAACCACATGGTGGGCCCCAAACAAGGTAAGATCCAGGAATTCTCTAGAGTTCAACAGTGGAGGTGGGGGGGAGGGGACCGGAAGGCCTGGCCTGGCATTTTCAGTAATTTCCACAGGAAGTTCTGTCCTGGCATTTTCAGTCATTTCAAGTGACCCCAGAGAGGGTCACTTGGAGACAGTGGCCGGAGACCCCACTGCGTACCCCAGCTCTTAGGAGTGGCCTGCTTCTAGCTCCTCTCCAGAAATTGGGGTCGCATCTCGGGACCGGAAAAGGCTCCTAGTATTTAAACCAACGGAGGAGGCCCTTCTCCTGCTGCCCCCTACTTTGGAACTCCCACAACTTCATCTCCACACTAGTTTGCCCCCCGACGCAGGCCCTCGACGCCCCCCACGCAGGGCTCCCAGGATTCGGAGATGGACAGGGCTCGGGTCCTGGTCCCCTCAAGTGGGGGCTGCCTCTCCAGATTGGGCAGAGGACAAGAGACCGGAGGAGGCGGCGTCTTATCCCGGACGGGAGGGAGGGGCTGCGCGCAGCCTCCTGGAGCAGGTACTGGGACCCGCGGGCTCATCCCCAGTTGCGTCACCCGGCAATTGATTGAGACATCACAATCTGGGGGCCGGGACCCGCGTCTCATCACTGCAGGTTTGTAACCAAACAATCCAATCAACAAACACCCCGGAAAGAAAAAAAAAAAACCGGCCTGACCCAGCCTTCCGCCCCGCCCCACCTCTCGCCTCCCGCCTCCCGGGGTTCCCGCCCCCGCACGGGGGAGTGAGCGCTAGCCCGGCGCCCCGCACCCGCCGCCCCGCGCCCGCTCGCTGCCCGCCCGCAGCGGGGGCGGCCCCGACAGCTGCGCCCGCCCCTCCCGCGCCCCGCCCGCGCCCGCCGCGGCTCCAGCTCCGCGGCGCCCTCGCCGGGTGCGTGCCGCTCGTGCGCCCGCCCGCCAGGCTCTCCGCGCCCGCCGCCCGCGCCGCCCTGGCCCGGGCCCTCCCGCCCGCGCTTCATGGCTGCGCACGAGTGGGACTGGTTCCAACGCGAGGAGCTCATCGGGCAGATCAGCGACATCCGAGTGCAGAACCTGCAAGGTAACGCAGCCCCGGCTCGCCCCGGGATCGCCCAGCCGGGCGCTCGAGGAGCCCGGGGCGCCGTTCCGACACTTGGCAACTCCCCCGCGCCGCCCCGGCTCACCGGCAGCCCACCGCTCCTGCCATTTGCCTTGGGGTGGGGGGCTGGAGTTGGACACCCGCCCCCAAGCCCCAGGGCGTCCGGCCCCGTCCAGATTTACAGTTGCCCGGGGGTGGGGCGCCACACGTGTGTGTGTTGGGGGGACAGGGCTCGCATTTTCATTAGGGGGACGTCACCACTCCCTCCAGCCACAGCTGCGAGTTTGGAGAAGTTTGTGTGTGGGCTCTTGGGGGCGGCGGCCCAGGTCAGGGAGGCGAGGAGACAGTGCGATTCCGTGTGTGTGTGTGTGTGTGTGTGTGTGCGTGTGAAAGTGTGTGAGAGTTCGCGCACTTCTAAGTACCTTCAAAGCAAGGGGAATTGAATGGTGGGCGGCGCCTCAGGGGGTGAGTTGGGGAGAGGGGGGCCAGGGGTGCGGATCGGATCGGTGGGGTCAGGCAAGCATCCATCTCCAATGGCCACTTTGCTCAGGGAGCTGCCCCTCCCCTGCACGATCAGGACTCCAACTAGGGAGAGGGCGAGAGTCCAGCCCACTACCACTTGGATCCTGCCTGGGCGCAGGACATGGGGACCAAGGCGTCTACCTGGGAGTAGCTGAGAAGAGGTGAAAGAGAAGCTCCCGTGGTGTAGAGCGGCTGCGGGTGGCGGTGCCACACATGAAGTGTGTTTCTCTTTCAAAAGAATTTATTCAATGTGGAAACTTCGCACAAAAATATTTGAAGGAAAAAAGTCACCCATAATTTTTCCCCACAACCTACCCACCCAAAAGAGAGCTGTTCTTTGTGGAAGTGTATTTCCAGCTTCTTTTTCTTTCTTTATTTTTTTTTAATACATGGGCTTTGCAGAACTGGATGGAACGCCACTTCTGGCCCTTCTTCACCCGCCTTGATCTGTGCAGGTGAAGTTTCTGTAACCGCTTCCCCTGCATGCGTGGGTTTCTAGAGAGTTCATGGTTAGGAGTGGCTGGGAGCCCCCTGGGAGGCCTGGGCAGAGAGGTGATGGGGCTGTTGGTGCCCTCCCCCGGCAAGGGCAGTGACTACTGTTAGAGGGCAGGGAGCCCCAGCCGCTGGGCGATGGCGCAGCAGTCAGGTTTAAACATTACACTTGATAGAATGTTTCCTGGGAGCCCAGGTGGATCTGGCCCGCCCCTAGCTTGGGCAAGGACAGTGCTGGCAGAGGTGACCTCAAAAGGAGTTGGTAACCTCCTGGGGTGGACACTGGAAACGGAGTTTGCTCTGGGCTCCTCTGATCTCTTCTGCTGTGATTAAACGAGGAGCTTGGGCTGGGGATGTTGAAAGTGTCTCTTTTGATAATTAGCCAACTGCCTGGATGCTGTTGCCTTAGAAAAGCTGACATCCTATTTGGGGGCGGACATTAGTGTCTGCTGCTGAGATGCCATTTTGTTTGGACTGTCAGGGTGTGTGTGTGCGTATGTATCTGTTCTTAGGCAATCTTTGGGTGTTTAATAAGCACATACTAACCAATGCTTGGTGCAACAAGTTCCGGCATTCCTCTAGGATTAGCTCCTGGTTTAGAGAAGATTGACGTTGTGAAGAGATGCCCGGCAATATGGGCATTAGGTTACAACCAGAACAGTGGGAGAAAGCTTCACAGAATAGGGACAATTTGAGATGGGTCTTGGAGGTTGGGTAGGAGTTCACTGAGTAAGCTCCTCCCCCTCAGCTCCCAGTGAACTGTCCTCACTTTTAGGCAAATGTCAGTTACAATGTGAGCATCAACAGGCTTTGCCATTTAAAAAACAAACTTTTAAATATATATGTATATGTTTAAATGTGCGCATATTTCTAAGTTTGACAAAACTTTATATATGGGTACATCTGTGTAACAATCACCCAGATCAAGATGCGGATTTCCAGCACCCTAGATGGTCAAGTACCCTAGCTCTTCCTTCCCAGGCAGTAACAGCCCCTGAGAACCAAGGGAACTAACTTCATCTTCATTACTGAAAATAACTTTTGCCACTAGAACCTGATACTCAATAGAACCCTACAGGATGTACTCCAGCCTGTTTTTCTTTTCAGCATTGTGCCGGTGTGATTCCTCTGTACTGTCACCTGTATCTGGAGTTCCCTCTCTTGCTGAGTACTATTCCATGGTTAGATGCACCACCATTTGATGAGCCTTTCACCTGTTGAGGGACCTTTGGGTTGTGTGCAGTTTGGGGCTATTATGAATGAATGAAGCTGTCCATGTCTTTTGGAGGACATTAGCACTGTAGAGTTACTGTGTCGGGTTGTGCTTTGCTTAGCATTGCTGAGAAGAGACTGGGAGTGGAGTTGGGGGCCGGCATCTGTCTTCTCTTGATTTTTCCCTTGGTTAGTTTCCTGACTGAATGCTTAATAGGCATTTTCTCTCCTTGGTTCTGTGGTACTCAGGAAGTCTCAGCCAAAGGGCAAAGTCCAGAAGGTGCTCTGCACTGAGCTTAGAGCATCTGCCATAACTGGCTGTCGGATGTTGGCTGGCTACTCTGTGACTGCATGATCGGCTATGGGGGCCACCAGCGGGGTCTTGTTCTTCTGAACTCAGTGCTGGTGGCAGTTAAAAGTTGAGGGAAGCAGACGGAGGCCAGGCAGAGGGGCTGCTGCTGAGACTGAGTGCCTGCTTATAGCACAGGTAGCCACAGTCGTGGCGATGGAAGGAGGGCTGCAGTGGGATTTTACGGATCTGTAATCATAGGGCTTGAGAAGGATTCCCGACCTCCATCTGCAGGCAGCAGCTGCTGTCAGGGTCAGGCATTCCTGATTCTTTTCAGAAAGCTTCAGCTCTCCCGGGGCCCTGGGTTGGGGTAATCCTGGGGTCAGTAATGAGGGGTAGCCCTGAGGTTCTGACCTCTGGGATACTGCATTTCAGGGAAGAATAGTTTAGTAATAGAGCTATATCTTTCTATCTTTCCGTTTATCTATGTGTTTAAGTTGACTTAGAAGTAGCTTGGCCTCTGCTCACTTGCTCATCCGAGGCTTTTATCTCTCGCCCTGAACTGTGGGATTCTGAAATCCATGCAGTATGATTTCTTCTGCCCCGCAAAAAACAATGGAATGAAGATTTCTAGACCTGTCTTTGGAGGTCAAGGTGAGCTGGGCAGAATGATGGCCCCTCCCAAGAGGCCTGCCACTCACCTTCGTTCGTCTGATTCTTGAGCAGATATGATTTTCATGTATATGTTGACATGCATAGGTCATAAAGGCCTTCATCAAGGAGGAGCCCTTTGAAAGAGCATGGACACGTCCCTCTGGGCAGACGGCCTGTGCCACCCTCACAGGGTCTCTTGCAAGAAAACGGGGGTGGTCCAAGCTGTTAACCTTTTTGGAGAGGAGAAGATGGAATTGCAGGTGTTGGCGGCCTCCGCCAGGTGGTCCCTGATTCCTTGGAGCCATATTGGAAGGCAGGGACATATTTTCTCAAATTGACGCTAGAGGTGGTGAGTTAATAGGTTTATGCCTTGGTTCCCTGCCTGGCTGTTGGCTACGAGGGCTCCGGTGTCCTTCCAAAGACAAGCTGCTCTGGGTGCTCCCTCTCTCTCTTTGCCTGAGCCTCAGGGTCCAGCTCAGTGCTCCACCAGTTCTGGGGGTCAGTGTACTATTAGACAAAAAGGGGTGTTGGACCAGATTTAAAGAAGGCTCTGTTCGTGTGGGAAGCCTCCAGCACCCAAAGAACCCATAGCCCTTCTCCACGCTGTTTAGCCTGTAGCATCTTGCAGACACTGGGGAATGAAAGCTGGTTCTAGTCTCTGCCTTTCAGGGATGTGAAACTGTCATGGGCACCCAGCCAGACTGGAGCTTGAATTTTCTGATTCTAGCGGTGCAGAGGTCAGTTCTGCCTTG